GAGACTGCTGGACAAGCGGAGGTGGAATGGCGGGCAGACTCCCCTTTCTAACAGAAGGGCAGGGGAAAAAAAAAAACAGACAGTGGGTCACTGTGACCGTCACTGTAATTACAGAGGGCCAGCTTTCAGAAGTATGCAGAAACGTGGAGGAATGAATAGAGCGACACCCATGACCCAGCCAAAGGGAAGTAGGGCAAATGTACAGTGTGACCACTCTCACTGAGGTGCGACTCCTTTGATCATCTGCAAGAGTTAAAAAAGGAATACTATTTAAATTTGAATAAATGTCTTAATGTTGTATTTTTTGCATCTTAAATTCCTTTTTTACATACAGCAATCACAGACCAGTCCGTTTGGTAGACATCATTCTGCTGTGTAGGATACAAACATAATGTTGCACAAAGAAGTCTGCAGATAGTTCATTTCCACTTTTATTATCCAAAAGGATTGAGGATGCCTACTGTGTACTTTAAATACATTCCTTTAAAATGAAATAGGCTGGGAAAAACAACCCTTCTGCTTAAAATTCAATTGAGCATTCAGTGGAAGCCTCATTGAACTCCAAAGTATCTTTCAAGTCCAAAGAATTTAGAAATCTCTTTAAAAACTTTTACATCTCTGTATGTGGTCGTTAACTTTTACAGAATTACTTGGTTTCAGTTAAGAATAAATATTTCCTCTAGTCTTTGATTCCTGCGCATTAATTCTGTTGCCATCGTAAAAATGTACGATTTTTCAAGAGACAATAACATCACTCGGCACTAAAAAAGGGACTGCAGTAATAGTTCCTATTGATGTGGGCTGTAACTTCTTCTGCCAATATCCAAAATTGGGGAAAACACGATTGAATTCAATAGATTTATTTATGCACAATCATTAATAGATTGAAGGCGTTAAATGCTGCTCCTCATGCAGAGAGCTGAGCTGAGAACCGAGACACTGCTGGATGGACAACAGTGTGTGTGTGTATGTAGGTATGCCTGGATAGCCACTTGTATCTTTGTATATGGTCTAATGTATATATATTTATACATGAGCGTGTGTGTGTTTACCAGGCCCTCATCTCTAAAGCCCTCCACTGGGTCTGGATCGGACCAGTCTAAACACACACAGACACACAGACACACACACACACACACACACACACACACTCATGCCCCCCTCAAAGACGTGCTTTTAAAGACGAGGGGCACTAAATGCCTTACAGATGGACTCCTAACAAACACAACACTCTGTCCCGGCCCTCAAGTATTTCCAGTATTTGGCCTTGCTGTAATTTACAGCATACTTACCTAAATGAGATGCTATTACGGTCAGGACATGCATTCTTCTGCGCACGCCTAGTGCTAATGCACATGATATAAGCGTGACATACATGGCACGGTATATCTGCCGTAATATAGCGGCGTGAAGTTAACCACAGAGTGAGCGTGATGTATGGTCCATGTAGTGTACTTAGAGCTACACAAATAATAATGTGTTGAGCCGAGACATGTCTGTGCAGGTCCGGAGGGCATTAGAGATTATTTTCCTCACTAGACACTGCTGACGGGTTTTACACGCACCAAACACAATACAGCCTCCAAATACAACAGACTTATTTTTTTAAATATCTTTTTACGTATTGTTAGGTCTGGATTAGTAACACAATCCCAATTCAGACATACAGTATATGGTTTCAGCGCAGACTTAATTAAATAAATTGAGAAACACTCTAAAAGAATTAGAAACCACATGGTGATTTGAAGTTAACATCAAATAAAATTGTGGTGCTTTTTAAAAAGGTAAATGATAAAACTTTTTTTTTTTTCAAAACTCAGGATAATTATCGTATCTCATATCTTTTGTTTTCAAACTTGTATTTTGAAATAAGTTATTCGGTATTTCAAATTTATAATGAAATGCCAGCAAATAAATCAAACATTTACAGGTTTTGTGTGGACTAATAGTTTTCCAACCTCGACAAAAAAATCCTACATAATAAAAGGCTCCTGCTTCACACACTAATGAAACAAAACAGCATCAGACGAAAAAACCTTGTTTTTCAGACAGATATTTAGAGGATATGTGAAAGCATATTGTTGTAATTTCCATGCCCTTTCTGTCCATTGCTATGAGAAAAAAAAAATCCTGCTCCTATAAAACTGAGAGAGATTTACCACAAACAGTGGGCTGACTTCATCCTAAAGCATGCAGCGAGCTCCGCTCTGAAAAGGCCACACTGAAGCCCAGAGACAGCGGCCACTGTTTGAGCTTGTCGTTTGGGTATTTTTCATCGAGTGTCTCTGACAGAGAGATAACACGCCGTCACAGAGTGCCATCAATCTTCGTTTCCAAGTCGCTCCTGGAGAATTCAATCTCGAGTGTGTTGGGTGAGACACATTGGTGATTAATCGACTCTATGCTCCTGTGTGTGCGAGTGTATGTGTGTGTAGACCTATATGTGTCTTTGTCTTTGTGTGATAAATCACTGTCTAACCCTGTACAGGACACACAATGCCCGAGCCGCCTTCAGCCCACTGAAGATAGATTCATCTACAAGTGATGTGCTGACAAAAGCTTGACAAGAAAATGATTCTGTGTTACTTTCTCAGCTGCAGCATAAAGCAGTCAGAGTGGTAGATGTCTGGTGTTTTACAGGGGAAAGGGAATTTGTCAAAAAAAAAAATTTAGCTGGAGGCTGACCAAGAGTGAGTATTGAGAAAGGCATGGGAACACCAACACACCAACACACAAACACACACACACACACACACACACACACACACACACACACACACACATTAGGGCACTGAGTTGATAAATAATTCCTCAGGGCTGTTGGGAAAGGTCCTACGCAGAGGTGATTCGACTGTGACACCAGGGTTCTGCTTTGTGTGTGATTAGGTTTACTATTACGAGCAACATGCAAGAGGTGACGCAACTCAGAAAATTACACAGCGTTATGAAATGCACTCAGTGGTGCGAGGCAAACAAAGGTTTTTGCCGCTGGAGATTCTGTTGCAAACAAAACGCAGCTGACAACTGAACTCAAGGGCACGCTAACCATTTGAACTTGATTTATTGTCTCACAATACATCTCCTGTAAACTTTCACTAAACTGGAGCGTTATGTTTTGATGGGGCATTGCGTTGCTGCTGAAACGCAAGTGTCATGTTGCAATGCTGTTTCAAGAGTAAATGCATACTACACAACACATACAAACTTCCAAAAGAGTACATTTAAGTAGATTTAAGTGAAAATGTGCCAGGAGTGCGAAGGAGCAAGCTGTGTTTAATTACAACCATGGTCATTTCAGTCAGGATTGCACTATGAGTGTAATTATAAAATCCACACATTCCAGAAACATGAAGCTGACATGTTGAGTTTCTCTAGAGTGGACAATAACGTCTGTGCTACTGGAGGCGTACCTGGAAGAGGGCCAGGGGATGTACCAAGTAACAAGGTTCGGCAGGTTCATCCACCTGCTGCCTGAGGGGGAAAAGGAGGCCCCCGTTTCCCATTTAACAGGTGTGCTGGCCCATCAGAACAATCAAAACAAGACATTCACACGACCGAAAGTGAGAGAGGGGAAGGGGGCGGATGTTGAGACGAAGAAAATAGTAATCATGAAGGATGGGTGGTTCTGGGTGTCGCAAGTGGCTGTTGCTTACGCTTCTGTTTCACTTTGAGAGGAAGCTTGTTGCAAATGCAGTTCTGATGAGAGGAACGGTGATTGGTCCCACATTGTTTAGGAGGGTCAGTAGGATTCCACTGATTTGTTTCTCAATCCTCCACCTCTTGTTGGTATTTTGCCTTTGTGTCAAGGCAGGGTGGGGAGAGAGAAGAAGTGAAAGAGGGAAGAGACAGCGAGAAAGAGAGTCATAGGTATGGGAGGCACTTCTGAACGCAGGTTTATGTTTCCAATCAGGAGATTGCGATCACAACATGAAGCCCTGAGCAAATGGGCCGTAACTCAATCACCGAGGGAGGTCTTCAGGCTCGGAGAGTACATTGGTTCGAGATCATTACTCCTCTCTCAGTAACAAAGGGGTTTGAGAACAGCAAACGCATGCAAACATTACAGAACATCAGTGTTGATGAGCGCGCAGAGATGGGATGGTAAATGTTAAGGCAAAGCGGGGGATATCCTGAGCTGGCTGATTTGAAAAGAATAGAAGTGGCTATAGAATGCATTGTTCTATTGTATAGGAGTATGTTTTCATTCACTCTAAGATGCAAGAACAACTTGACGATAGAGGTTTGTGACATCACCAGCGACATGAAAAAAACATGCTTGAACACGCGACAAACACATTTCCAAATGCCACGAGGCAGACAACAGATATAGCTACACGCAAACTCAAACAAACACATTTCATATCTTGATTTGCATTTCTTTTGCAGACAGGAAGGCAGGGGCACATTCACACACAACTGGTACAACCATCAGGGTTGGCGTCACGTTGGCATCACGCTGTTCCTGTTCTCTCTATGAGAGAGGACACGCCTAGTTACACCCGTCATAACACAGCTGTTTTCTGTTGGCTATGCCTCACTGTGTTAAGACTTTAGCCCCCCTTAACGCTCCCAGTACAGTAATATTCACTTATGGAAACATAAACATCCAAGAATTGCCACCACCCAACGTACCTAGGATTACAGGAAATAAAGAAGGGCTGGCATGGAAAATCATGACTCAGCTCACAATGGGAGTCAGGATCATAATTACAAAAAACGAACATAAACGTAACTGCGGCCTAAACACAGCACTAACTAGATGCTGATAAGCTGGAGAGCACAGAATGCAGGTGTGTTTTTTTGGCATTGGCACACAAGCCAAAACATGGTCATATCAAAAGATACCACCACACACATTCATCTGATAACAGAGACTCTGGCACACAGTTATGCAGTTACACATGCATACTTCTGCTTATCTGTCTTACCCACAGACAGACAAACACGCACACACACACACACACACACACACACACACTGAGCAGCACAAGTCTACTTACCTTATCTTCTAGCCTGATCAGTCGCGCTCCAATAGTTGGGTATTCTTTATCTTCTCCTTTTCCTGGTGAATGAATAAAAATGGACAATCAAACATATACACCCAAACAAACATTTAGTGCCAATATTAATACATTTGCCTTGATGGCTACTACTGAATTTCTTCTTTTTATTAAAACAGATGCATAAAAACAGATGCATAACAGCACATTTTGTCACACTCGGATCAATTACTGCGCGCTCACGCACAAGTTACAAAAATAACATTGTCATTTACAGTAGGAGCCCTGAAGGCTCATGATTCTTAGTGAAACCATCCATTCATTCATTTTTTGCCGCTTTTGTGGGTGCGGGTCACAGTGGCAGTTTACGGCCCCCTACTGAAATGTAGACGCTAAATATATGTCAGAAAGAGTTATGTAGCCCTAAAAACACGACTTAACGCAAACATTTCATATCAGCCACCATTCAATAATAGTAATAAAGTGTGAATTCTATCTATAAAATATAAAAATAATACGTAACTTGCATTATTTGTAACTTCATAAAGGTCCAGATAAACATAATGAATTGGCACTTTATTCTTTCAGCATGTTTCTTTTTTCTAATTCCTTGTTAGGAAGGGGGATTGTTTTGTATAGTTTTGCCCGAACCAATCAGGTAGCGAGTGACATATTAGCCCCGCTGACATCATTTTCAGTTAACACAAAAGCGTTAGCGTTTTTTTTACACACTGATCAAAGAAATATGTCTATTAAGATCTGGTATTTTTCTCATTTGATTTCATTAATTGTATTTCATTCATGCTGGTCACCTTTTTCTCTGAAGCTATTTTTCATGAATGTAGCCAGGTTGCTTGGGAGCTATGGGAAGATGACGCCCATATTCTTAATCCCGCCTACAAAGCTCCAATTGGTCAATTATTTTCTCTAACCAGTCAACAAGCATGACTGAGATTTAGGCTGTGATTCAGAGGTCTGAAATCAGGCTATTGATAAAGTCTATTCCACTAGAATTTCCATTGTTACGTCAGTTGCAGTTTATAACAAGACCCACATTATGCTTGCTGATGCAACAAATCATTTCTGCATGATTAATGAATACTAATTAAACTGAATTGAAATGTCAACACAATACAATCAAACATCAACAGTAAGCTAAATAATTACAAGATACCAAATGATTAATTCCTAATTCATTTCTTTCTTCTTTTGGGTTTCAAGCTACATTTCCAAACTAATGTATACACTCTGAAGTACATCGTACATGTACACCCACATGGACATGCAAACACACGTAAGCCTGCTATATACCCACATGCACGGTGAAACAAGCAGTGTGCACAAATTCAAATATTTACAAATATGAAAACAGACATGTAAACACGCCCACATTAAAACATATATATATACTGTATATATATATATATATATATATATATGAACACACACACACATCAGGGACAGCTCTTTCTCTCATATTTAGTCTGGCACAGCTTGTGTATGTGTGGGATGTAAACACAGGGACGGAGTGACGAGTGATGGCTGTCTATCAGATGTAGACTGTTGTGTTTTCTGTGTATTTACCTGGAAGAAACATTCCTGGCTTCCCCAGTGTGCCGTCGAGCCTGGGGAAAAAAGACAGAAGTAATTAAACTGGGGAAGGTGAAAACACTGGCCAGATACTGTGGAGATTCAGTTGAGTAAATAGCACTTTATTCCAGGTCATTAACAAAACATTAAAATAGTATAAGCCAATTTATGGAGCCAATACAATTAAACAAATGGCGTCATCTTGAACGGTATTTACTGCTTACCCACATGCAAGTTTTAAAGGGATGAATAAATGAATGTTCTTATTGAGGCTTTCAAAATAAACAATCAGACTCGCAAGAGATTTGCACATGTGGACTGTTAGTCATCTAAAAATGCACTGAAGCAGTTCAATATGCACTGCAAAGCATTGTCTTCTTTTCACCACCTCAAATTAAGGGTGGAATGTCACAGCAATCACATGTCTTTGGCTGTCTTTCCTTTATGTTGGTGACACATTTTATGCAAAGTGTTCAATGCATTATTGTGATCTTTTTGAAGTCAGATGTGGTGAGTGCTGTGATCTTTTTCTTTGGATTTTCTGTTAAATGTTAACGTTTGGTATTACTCTTTTTTAGGGTTGCAGAAAAAGACAATAAACAAAAAATCAGTAGCTTAGAATTTTATGAGCGACATTGTAGAATTTAGTACAATTGTGATTATAAAAGACTCTTGGCTCTTTGACTCTTTGTATTGAAGCTTTCATCATTGCAGTAGGTTATACATTGTAATAAATAATCAAGGAATCCCCCTTTTCTTGATATACTGACACACTGTGATGCCCCGCTGGTTTCAGAATGTCACAGTCCATTACCATGTGTCAGCTGAATTACTGCAAAAGGTGTTAAGAGGGTCCAAGTGGCGTACTTACATAAGTTTGACCAATTTATTACCCAAGCCATGTCCTTCATGGGTGAGTCAAAATCACGTAAAAATCTCCCAAGGTCTCCCGTTGTGTTGACTGGATATTGGGTTTTTCTGTTGCTTTTCTTTTCTGGGTTTGCGTGTTTTTGACTTTGCATCGTTTCTGTATTTACAGAGTGTTCGCTGTTAATGTATTTGTTTTGGCTTGCAGCATTTGAATCACATTTCCCTAATTGTTTTGGATTTTCATATGTGTTTTGGAATTGGCATTGTTTCTGAAGCTGCAGCACATTTATCCAAATGAAAATGTGTTGGGCCGTCGTAGCGCCGTGTCTGCCACTGTTAAGTAATCAACATAATGATGGCAAGAATGTAAAAAAAAAAGTTGAAATCAATTGACACAAAGTTAGAGAAAGAAAGCGAGGCAGAAAGAGCATGAAACAAGGTCAAAGACACCACCTTCTCTGGAGTTCCTTGATGCGGACCATCATGTTGAGGTGACCCTGGGAATATTGCTCAATCACGTCTCGCACGTCATAGGGCTTCCGCGCTTGCTGTGAATCACACACACACACAAACACACACACACACACACACACACACACACACACACACACACACACA